ATAGGAATAAAACAATGTCCCTTTCAGCTAGCTGAAACAGATGATCTAAAAAGTAACGGCTTCTCTAGTCTGCAGTTCTCCTTCTAGAGGAAACCGTTGTGAACAATGACTGCCCTCATCTCTTCTTCTTCATCTAATCTACATATTCGCGAAAAAAGCTTCAAGCAATTTTTCCTTCTGTAAATGTATAAAACCATCAGCTTACTTCAGAACCCTCAAAACAGCCAAAGTGCTTTAAGTAAAGAACTGGAGATATTTATCTATAAAGGATTTTCTCACCTCTGTCTGAGTAAGCATATGCAGGCTGTGTGGTCTGTTCATCAGTGGGAGTACAGTAGGAGTAATACTACTTCCAGGTCAGGGTGGAAACACCAGTTTGTGTTTACACCAAGCTTTCTCTCTATGATTTCATTTCCTGAAAGAAGATCACTACAAACAATCACTTTAAATAACAATTTCCAATGTATATATATTATATGACTATAAAACACAATGTCAGGTTTAACAGAATTTAATCATTAATGTTCATTCACAAAATGACATTGATGACGTAGAAGAGATACTGGTGTGGGGATCACGGTTCTGCTGGTGGCCAAGCAGTGTAATACAATAAATCACAAGAGAAAACAGTCATGTAAAACTAATGATAGAGGTAAGATTAACATAGGATGTAAATGCCTAACATAAATCTCCTTTTAATATACACACACATCTGTACTGTACATTTCTAGATCATGTCTGTCATCGCTTTATTGCACTGTCTATCTCTCTCATACAATGCATAAACATAAAACTGTTGATGGCAGAACTCTAATTTTTACAAATTTATGCAGACCCAAACATTCAATTTTTACTGTAATAGCAAAGCCAATGAATCTGTGATGAAGGGAATTGAATGCAAGTCTTACTGTTGGAGGAGTTTCAAACAGCAAGCTGCTGAACTTGATTCTGAACTTTCTATCTATTTTCTGTTCCATATGTTATTTAAATAGTAGCTTGATCTCACACAGAGCTTAACAATTGTTCTTTCTTTTGACAAAATATCAAATTCAACCAGTGTGTCCTGGATACTGACATGCCAACTGCAGGTGTAATGACTGATAGATCTGTCATCAGCGAATAAAAATGCAGAGTTGCATAATATATAATTATGTAGCCTACTCAAAACGACAATTGCTGCTAAGTAAACTAGGTTTGGATATCTGCTGACCGATCGCACAAGACACCAACGTCAAGCCTGGAGCATTCGTAAGAATGAATCTATTAGAAATGGGAGAAAAATGGTGAATGCAACATTTTCTCCTAAATCACTCGTACGAACGACTTAAGAACAAATTTGTTTGTATGAATGCTTCTTCATTAGGCGCAATGTTTCTAAATGATGAAGCATCACTGCCTATAGCAATATTGAGATAATACACGCTGTCCTTAGATCAAGGACAATCCAATCCACACTATCAGATATTTCTATGTTAAGAATTATCACCTCTGTCTCTATGCTCTCATTTCATTTCCAAACCCTTTTTACTTTCGTGATGAAAATCATTACTTTTTATCATGACCAAATCATAACTAAATGAACTGCTTGGGAAAACATTGACCTTAACACTTAACCAGTTGGTAATATTAGGGTTTAACAAGCACAGATATGAATGAAAAATAATCATTTTAACACTTACATGAGAGCTTACTATGTTTAAGTATGGCTTAAGCTGCAGAATCAACAGAGGCCCCACCGCCTGACTAACACCGGCTCTCCTTCAATTCACTTTTAGAGATCATCCCTCCGCCCATCCATTCACACCTTGTAGCAAGTTATTTAGCCTTTTTAAACAATAACATTGACTTTAGAAAAAAAAATATATAAACCAGAAAGAACTCATCTAATATCGCTCAGTAAGAGGCAGCCAATCAGACGTCAGGGTTTCTATGGAAACAGACCTAGTCCAGCCAGTTTCAATTAATTAGAAAAGATAATTAAAATAATTTATAAATAGCATACAATTAAAGTTTTACAAATAATAGATAAATAGAATAAATAAATTTAAAAAACTACTCGTTAATAATTAGCCTTATAATGTGAAGTCTACATCATGGATTTCTGTTAGTTAACTTTTCACAACTCGGATACATCAAAAGCAAAACACATAACTTTAAGCTATAACAGGACTTGATGTTCCACTAAATTTATTTCAGTGCCCACATTCTGATTTAAATTGTTTTTTTTCAACAATACAGAAGCAAAAAGCATATATGGTAATATCAGAAATTGTTTGATATAAACTTGCTAAATCTGCACCGGAGTTTGTTACAAACAAACTGCAACCCATCCCAGTCTGATCAAAACTCTACTGGTTAGGTCTATGCTAGTGTTTAGATATATTTCACATCTTTCCAAAGAAAGCAGTTGATCAAAAAAATTTACTTTTCTGCTTTATTGCTTGGCAGTTGGATTTTTAAGAACTAAAATAAATGTAAGTACACATCAAAAGTGGTTTCAGAATGGTTAAGGCAGGCTGAAATTAATCTTTTTTACCTCACTTATTTTAACTCTCTGATTGGGATTTGTGAAAACAAAATCAATGCATTACACCACTATTTTCTTTAAGAAAGGTGCTTAAATATTCAGCCAGAATAATCCCAGAGTCCTTCTGATGAATACAAAATGCAACTAGTATCTTTACAACTAACCAACAAACATTGACTCACATTGTACTTGTGGCCTCTATTTTTACAGTTTGTTTATTTCATCATGTGTGAATAAAAAAGAACCAAAACTTTCCACAAACTGTAACTTATGCATGCATTTCCTTTTTTTTTTTTAAATAGAATTAAGTCAAATATTGATCAAAAAGCACTAAAATCATTAAAGAACCCCAATTGATCCTGTTATAAGGTTCATAAGCGTAAGTGAACATACATTATATCACAATAAATCACAAGTGTACTTCTGTACAACAGGCCATTGAACCTGTGGTGGTGTCCCATCAGCTGCTTTAAAGATTTGGCACTCTTTAGTTTTCTTTTGTGGCTTAATGTGGTATCTTACATTTCATTCAGTTATTTTCATGCACTTGTTCTCAATTTTGCTTTTCAATTCTTGCTTTTATGTTCTGGATTGAAATAAGAAAGAATGAATTGTTGCACAGCATGTTTGGGTACATTTCGTTCCTAATTCCAGTTTTCTTTTTTTTTATTTTAAGAAAGTATTAAATTATGCTTTTTTCATTAATGGAAACCAAGTATTACATAACATTTGCTTTACGCTATTTGTTACAAATCATTATACTCATTAACATTAGAACATGTGCAGGTTACTCTTGAGAGTGATCATTGTTAGTTAACATGTCCCTGTGTTCTGTTTAAAATGCATGGATTTTAAAGAAAAGCATGACACAGGCCTTATTCTTAAAAAATAAGAATTTGGATATTTTGTGTTTACAAGGTTAGTTATAATTTTCCAGGGTCACTTTGCAAAGCTGAACATGAGCCATAGCTATTTATCATGTTGAGATAATGAGAACACAAGAGGTGTACTGTAAGACACATGCGCTCACAGTTTATAATGGGACAGACACTGGGGCATCATAGTGAAGCTTGAAAAATCTATGCTCATCCTCTGCTCAGAGACCTCGATGCACTTTAACAACTTTCCCAGTGAAAAAAAAAAAAAAGAAAGAAACCCTGATGCTTTTTATAGATATTTGTGGTAGCATTTGTGATTACTTGTAGAGTTCAGGAATATAAAATCGAATAGTGGCGACAGAGGCAGGGTCCTTCGGAAATTGTGGCAGAGGCTCATTTGGGAGCTTATTTTGTTTGCAAGCAACAACATTTTATTTTATTTTTCAAGAATTTTCTTCCTCAGATGTGTGCTGTACCTCATTATTGTTGAATGGTGTTATATATGGCTGTAATTTATATTTGACATTGACACTTTAAATACAGCAATCAGTCAATAACCCAATGGCCACCCAAGGCAAAAGGAGAAGGCAGTAAAGTGAAGGTTTATACGGTGATTTGTTCCATGAGGGGGGAAAGGCCAGGGGAAATGTTGTCAGAGAGCTGTAGCTTGGAGACTGAAAATTCTGACACATTAGTGAGGGATATTAAAAAGGGCTGTCATGAGTCCAGCCTGACCATGATTGAATAATTAAAAGCAGGAGCATTTTTGGAGAAATGTTTTCTTTTCTGATTCTTACCAGCATCGTTACTCTGAGGTGCACAGTCGTGTATCAGCATGATCCTCCTAAGCAGCTGTATTACCATAATAGCAGGCATCATATTGGAAAGTCATGGACTGTTTATGGAAGTCTCACTGCTCTACACATAAGTCTGTGTTTTATTCATCATATTTTACCCTTTAAAGACCACTAAAATGTGTTAGGTCTGTCTGCACTAAGTTTACCTTACCTTTAACATCATGCTGTTTTTTTCCTTGAAAATTACATTGCTATTATTTCCATCTCATTAAACAAAAGTCCTATTATTATAATTTCAATTTTTCCTTCTGAGATACTGTTTTTGATTGGTTGGAAGAAATGTATCCTCTTCCTCATGAAATCGTGTTCTCTGTAGCAAAAGGGCTTACTTTATCCCATTTTAGTGTTGCCAGAAGGAAGCCACACATTTGACAAATTCCCACTAAAATATATATATATTTTTTATTTGGGATTTTGGCTACAAAACTGTTAGATAAAAGGTCTTCCTGTTCTAGTGTGCGACACAAAGTTCTCTTGTGGTTTCATTAAAAAACTGAGCTTTAAAATTACTAAAAAGATCTATTTTAGGTTAATATTGTAAGATTCTTAGGCTGCCTGGTTAAAAAATATGATGATAAAAGCTATTTAAAGTTTAGTTATGAGTATTTTTAGCACAATTACAATGGCCAAATATTTATTGATGAGGTTCCTAAATACTGAAAGCTAGCTGAAGCTGTAGCCTGTTGAAGTACTGTGTAATCCTCCAAATTTACGCTTTCTGTCATTGTTTTCTTTCAGATCCTAATGCTTTAGGACAACATGGACCTGACCATGCTTTAATCGGCGGTGTTGTTGCAGTTGTGGTCTTCATCACCTTGTGTTTGATAATAGTTCTTGGAAGATACCTGGCTAGACATAAAGGTAAAACAGGTCCCTTCGACTCCCTCTGGATTAAATAAAAAGATGCTTTGAACTTTTCCGCCTGTGAATTTTTGACTTGGCTGCATATTTATTTACAGGGACATATCTAACGCACGAGGCCAAAGGAGCAGAGGATGCCCCCGACGCTGACACCGCTATTATCAATGCTGAGGGAAACCATGTGCATGCAGAGGAAAAGAAGGAGTACTTCATTTAGACCTCTTCCTCCTTTCTTCTTCGTTTCCACGTTCAACAAGAGACATGCAATTTCAAGCTGCCTCAGTGTCACAACATGGTCTGGGTTTATATCCTTACTCCTTTTTTTCCAGGAATCTCATGCTTGGTTCAACTTGACTTTTAAAACAGCTTTCTCCTTTTATAATCAATACAAAGTAAAGGTTGGATTAGATTTTAGTTTTCTTGTGCCTAAATGAGATGTTTTTCTGCATTTTTTTTCATAGACTGCGTGAACAAACTTATCCACTCTCTTACATAACTGTCAAAAGAACTTTTGAACACAGAAGGGATAAAAGATGCTCTTGATTCTAAGAAATTCAAGGTTGGGCTTTTCAAATTGTTTTACTTTAAGAAAAAATAACGCTGAAATGCATCAGTTTATCAAACATTTCCATAAAAAGATGTTCCTTTTTGAATTAAGCAATTGTCTTGGATGTCACCTGGATGTTACCTTAACACAGCCATAATGTATAACATAACATGACACACATTTTGATATAACAAAACATAAAAGCACAATCTGCACGATTGTCCAAAAAGGATCCATCTCCTCTTAACATACTCTTAAACTTATTCATTTCAGTTTTCCCATATATAGTTATTTTATACTATGAAAGTTGGAAATTTAAAGCACAAAGTCTGAGGACTAAAAAAAACAAGTGAGGAAATATGTGAACTGTATTGTGTCTCAGGATTCAAAACGAGTCTAAATGGAGAGATGGAGTCTGACATGTAAAAAAGATTTTGATCATCATAATGGATCAGGAATATTTGGTCTTTTTCGTTGGCTATTTAATGTAAAATCAAAACTGAATGAGTGGGACTTTGTGGGGCTTTATTATTTATGTTGAACTTTATTAAACAACAACTATGCTTAATGTGTGGATATCGCTGTAAAATACTTTGCTAACGTGAATATTTGTGAAGAATATTGTTAAATCTTGGGATCCCTGGCACATTAGGTTTTGTATATTAGCATATTCATAATTTAATGTATTCCATATTTCATGATGTTTTTTTTTTATCGTTTATCAAACAAGAGTTACAGTGCTGTGAAAGAGTATTGGCCTTACAGATTTCTTCAGGTTTGCAAGTCTTTCCTTTGACAAATGTTTCATATCAGACAATTTTTAAATGTAGACTGAGACGACCTGAATTATGCTAAAGTAGCTTTAAAGCCCTGGAATCTGTCTAACAAGATAAAGTAGGCTTAAGATCCCACAAAGCCAAACATTATGCCTTTTTCCATAAAAGTTCAGAATTATCAACATCTATCAGTCTGCAAAGAATTACAAAGCAATTTCTAAGGTTTTGTGACACTGGTGAACCACCGTGAAAGCTATTATCATAAAACAGAGAAAATATGGAACATTGATTAACCTGCCAGGAGGAGCTATTCTACCAAAACTACTTTAACAGCAAATCTACAACTAATCCAGAAAGTCTTAAAAGACCCCAGGAAAACATATAAAGTGCTGCAGGCCACGCTTACTTCTGCCAATCTATTTTATGATTCAGCTATAAGAAATGGTGGCTATAGACAGTATAGCAGAAAAGACAGTGTTGAAAAAACAAGAGACAGAAGTCTATCTCACATTTCTTAAAGAAAAACAGTTATTATTCAAAAGACTTTGAGTGGAGAAAGAAAAAAAAAATACTTTTGTGAAGTGTGCTTCCTGATATAAGTGGCAGAAAACAAGTAAAGTCCCAGTCAGACATGGTAATTATAGTGCAAAGGAATGGGGTTGCTTTGCTGCATCCAGAGCAGAATACCTTACTGAAGCTGATGGGACTATGTAACCTATAGCAGAACATCTAGCTATCAGTTTGTGAATGTTACCTGGGTTTTGCTGCAAATGATGAAATATAACAGCAATCACACCTTGTAGTGGCTAGATTAGTTAAAATATGGACTTAAAGGTTTGGGAGAGGATCTTCTTGATTGTTTTTAAAAGACCTGCCCTCTTCATTTAAAAAATGCAGGTGAGAGAGCATGCACAATCCCACTTCTCCTTGTGCACACTCATACAAGCTCACTGTGCCCAAACGTCCTTCCTAACCTCTATATCCCTCAATCACTATAAAGCAAGGGGACTATATAGTGGACTTTATAGTGAACTCAATTAACTGACCATTTGGACAGATGATCACTACTTTTTGCTCTGTTGGTTAAACAACTCCTCCTCCACTGAGTGGTGCCGGCGCCATCTTTGTTATTAGTCGCCGCTGTGGAATAGTGACCGCAAATCTCATAATGCTTTGCGAGGAGAGCTCTCTGCACAAAGCATTCTGGGATATATCTGCCTCTGATATGAGGCCTTTCTTTTCTTCTCATACACTTCTTAGACACCTTTTCTCTTACAACCCTCAACCATTTTTAAAGAACCATGATGAATGAAACCGTAGCTCACCACAGATATATGCCTGAAAGTGCGCATGTGCACAAAATGATACCTATCAAGGTGAGCATGTAAGACAGCCTTACGTAAACGTATCACCAGAATGATTGACAATTGGGAAGACCATTTATTTAGATGATCCACCCAGAAAAATAACATCCTCCACTATACCTTTAAGTGAGATGCTGTTGCCTCATGTAAAAAATAAAAAAAAGTTCATGTTAACAAACCCACCAACCAAGAGCGAGAAGTTCCTCTACAGCTTTGATAAAGAGTCTTTGTTATCTATCAGAAATGCTTGATGGCAGTCATTGTTGCTAAGACTGACACAACCACTTATTAGCTTTAGTGAGCAAACATTTGTTTCATACAGTTGGTCTGGATTGATTTGTCTTTTTATAAATGAATTAAACTTCTAAAAAGTTTTCATTTTATGTTTTGAAAACTGCATGATGATCTTAAATATAACAGCATCTTAGCAATCCAAAAACAGACTGAAACCTGAATTGGGACTAATACTTTTTCACAGCCAGCTAGGTAATTTAAGTAAACATAAGAGGGATGAATTTCACTCCTGTTACTTTGATGAGCATTTTCACTCTTTTTAAGGTTTCGTCAAACAGGGATTCTAATGAATTACCTAAAATTGAAAAAAAAAATATTCTGACTATCTGTATTTATTATTATGACTGATTCCGATTTATTATGATACTATATTAATTAGTATTATTGTTGTTAACAATTGAAGTAGTTGTCTGACATTACATTTTCCATTTTTTAAATTCTGTAATTTATCATAAAAAATACTAAAAGGATCACCGTTATGGCCTTTGAGTTTGCTGCAAACAGTACATGACATGACATGTTGAGGCATTGGTGAATCAAACATCCTCTAACTGTATATATTCATTGTATCAAAGAAACTGAACCACATTGCCAATGCTCATACTGTACATGTTATTTTCTTGATTCCGTATGAGGCTATAAATAGTCATTTTGTACAAAGATTTAATTGCTGTAATTATTTTGCTTTTTACGGAGGGTGTCTGAGGTTTGTTTTATTTCTCAGTACTGAATATTCATTTTTCAACTATGCCACTGTAAAAAAATAAATAAAGAAAAAATAAAGAAAAAAGAGGGACAAAGTGCGAATTAAAGAAAATGAACAACTTGAAAACTGTCATTTTGTTGTGGTTTGACAGAAACTCAAGATCAGAGATTTTACTTTTTATTGTAGGCTTCTTTCCAGTAGCAGAAATATTAGTCTTTACATCTACTGATGGGTGAAAGTAGCATATAATGATTGACAGGCATTGGGCTCAGGCTGCACTGTAATTGTCATTCGATGGAACTGTAAAGTCTTTCTCAGCCTCTCGTATTATAAATATATAAAAAGTGACTATTTTTAGAAGCATTGGTTGAGGCTTTCATCTCCAATCATTTAATGAACATTACAAAAACAAAGAGAAAAGTCTCCATGATTTTCCTCTTGTTTCACAACAGCTGGGTTAGATATTTTCAGACGTCACACAACGTGCTGATTTTTGGTTTGGATCTTATTTCCTTTGAGACAGTATTGAAAATACTGTAAATAATGAAACTGGAAACAAATTAACTAATTTCGTCCATACCTGAGGCATTCAACATATACCCCTTTTTTATAGCCTGATAAACCAGACTAAATGTGAGATTAAATGTATCATTTAGTCTGGCCCTGATGAATGAGACATCGGAAGATTGTTGATGAGAACAACCCGTTGTTTTCCAAACCATGTCTGTGCCTATTGACCACGTAGTAAGCGCGACAGGAAGCTGGTGGGGGAGTGTAAACAAACAGCCTGTCGGTAAAACGGCGAATACATCCTTCCTAAAAATTAAGGAGTGTAGAGCCTCTTCCTGCTCACGTTTCAACGAAAACCCCAAGTCTAATCCTTTCAAAACTGATTCCAAAGCTCAGTCAAATGAGAACTGTTCAATAGTTGTTGCCATCTTCCTTGTTGTGCTTTCACCAGCGGCTGGCTGGTGGGGCTAGTTTACTAGGCTACCTTTTTTAAACTATATATTCAAATCATCCAGCAGTGCTCTTAATCCTACATCACCATAAAAGTTATACTAAAAAAATGATTAGCCCAATTTGCTGAAATCTCATGGCACCAATTTAAATGGGTTGGGTAATTTATTGTTGCTCCCACATGGTCCCACAACCTGTTGATGGTGTTGGATCACAATTTTGATCACCCGGTTCGAATCCAAGAAGAAATGTTTCTCAGATACTGTACAAAAAGAAGGAAACATCTTTTAAGTATTAACAGAATTTATTCTAGTCATGTTTAACGTCATTGATGGAAGGACACATTGCAGAGGATGTCTTCACCTTCTATGTCTTTAGGCTGTCCTCTTGACCATAGCTTGTGTGAACAGCTTAGGGGAAAAGAACTACTAAAGGTTTTCCAGTTTATCCAAAAATACCACACCAAGCCAGAAGGTACCTCTTCCAAAGTCTCAAGACTCAGTATCCTGCCTTTCTCCTTCAGCCTTCAGCTTTGGAATATCATTCTAGCTCACTTAGGCTTTGTGAAACTGGTGAACGAGTGTAAAGAACAAGCAGTTATAACAAAACAGAAAGCAAAATAAAAAGAAATTAATCTTCAACGATGAGGAAAAAAAAGAAAAGGGTTAAGGACCTCAAACGGTCTCATCTAGTTCCTGAGTAACTGCAGTTTCCTGGAATCTCCTCCATGCACTTTGTATTGCACTGCTAGATGCTCCAGATCTTTTGGCAACAACTGATGTGCTGTCTGGGTGGAGTTGGCCTTCCTGTACAACCTCTGCAGAGTCCAGCTATTGCCTCATGCTACTAGTGACACTGAAAAAAAAACAGAAAAAAGGGAGTAGGGGAAAAAAATTCTCATTTGAATTCATCTGAAAAACCCTAATCGTGTTTTTGGAGGGGTTATCAATAAATCTTTAGTGCACCTGTTTTGAATTTTATTAGCACCATAACCGCTAACAGTGATAAACCAAGCGCTCAATTCTACTTCACTGACCAGAACAATATTCCAATTTGCCGATTCCCTCAAGCTATAAAGGGGGACACATCCACACACAACGGCATGTGGAATAAGTCCCCTGGTCGAATATCTCTTTTTTATGCAAGAATGGGAAGGCTGGTCAGAGCTGGTAGAAAAATGGATAGAGCTTAGTCCTGAGCCCTCAGAGAAGGCTAAAGCTGCAGTAGGGAGACCTGAGAAAACTGTAGACTTAACCTGAACATTTGAACAAGCAAACCACACAGGGACCTCCATTTCACTCTGTTACGCTGGCCTACAGCATTTCTTCCACAGCTCCTTCCCCACAGCGTGGCCTGCTGTGAATGTGGAGGTTTGCAAGGTGGGCCACCGATGATAGCAGATAACCAACTATGACACATTCACTGGTAGAAATGAGACATCAATGCTATGCTTTACAAGATGCACAGCTGAAACGCATCGAAAATCTGAGGTTTTTTTTGACAGAACATGTTGCGCAGAGGAGGTATGTGAGCAGTGCATACATGAGCTTGATTAACACTGCTACAAGATTCCTCATGATTGGTTGTTTTTGATCACGCGTGATGTATTTTTGAAAATTGCTGGCTATGAGTGGGAGAAGGCTAAGGAGCTTTCTCACAGATTTTTTTTGTCATATTCTACTTCTTTAAACATAGTGAAAATTTTAATAAATAAAGAAATTAAATCTTTTCAAAAAGAAACCACTGCATGTTTAATTCCAAGAAAGGACATTTATTCTGTAGACATTTACTTTTAAAGGACATTGAAAGTCATGTATCCATTCAAATGAGAGAAATTTGAGTCTTTAGTTTTGGGTGATCTATTTTGTGTTTATACTTTTTGCAAAGGAAAAAGGACTCAACTTTTGCTTTAGAAAATCCTTTTGTTCCCTGTTTTCCAGTCAAAACCTTGTGATACGTTTGGATTGCATTCACTTACACAAAAAAGAAATTGGTCTGTTTTTTTAATTAACATGACACAACATGTCATGTTTGTCGAGTTGAATTCATTTTTACTTTCTTTTGGTATTGAGACACAGGAAATTCTCTTATAGGATGCGATCACTACTAGTTTGTCGACTTCACAAAGACACCTGCACAATGGCACTACTTTTTAAATGTGTTTTTCCCCCGTTTCCATCTCGAAAATGTATAGAAACAGGGCTAATACATTTATTTTTTAAACAAATTATCTCATTGATTCAGAAAAAAACTGAACCTTTTCATCTATTTTAAGAAAAAAAAATTCTTGTTAATTCCTAAAGATAGATAGATATATATATATATATATATATATATATATATATATATATATATATATATATATATATATATATATATATTAAATTGTCTAGTTCTATAGAAAAACAGACCAATTTCTTTTTTTTCTTCCACGGATACATATCCCCTTCATTAACTCACTTGTTTAAAATTCCAGGGACGACTCCTTGTTTTTTTTCCCCTCTGTCATTTTAATCAGGGTCTGAAATCTGAACTTTGGTGTGTAGGTTTCCAGCTACTCACTGAACAAGACCTCCAATCCCTTTCATTAGTCAAATTAATGAAAAAAAGAACATAAACAAAAACACGAAAAGGTAATTAATTGTTATTATATTTGTCTCTCAAATAACCCCCTATAAAATGCATTGAGATTTGTGATTGTTACATGCAAAAACGCTCACAGGTATGAATATAATTTTAGAGCATTTTTTTTGTGAACTTAACTTAATATATATATATATTT